GCAGGGCTGGATAGGATGTGAACCACTGTGGTACACAAACAGTCAATGTAAAGGAAATCTAAATCCTTGGAAAGGACCATTCACATTGATCTACCATGCTCCCTAAAAGGATTTACCAAAATCATCAAGAAATCTTTGAAGAATATTAATATAGAGGAAAGCGGGAAATTGTTCCTTGTTACAAATATTGGCCGGAAACTGAAAAAGAGAAAATTTAAGCAGAATATCCTGAGACAATTCCCTATACCAACATCTAAATATAGAAGAGGCTCAACTAGGAACATAGTAGGATCCCTAACACATTGTTGTACAACACACTACAGGGAACAATCCATCTTGCTCTGGTACCCAAAGAATGGAGATGATCACTTGAAAGGTATTTTGCAACTCTGCTTATTATTTTTGAAGGAGTCTTTCACCTGATATTTTACTATAAGCACTATAATCAGGTGCAATATTTACTATTCAACTTGTTTATAGAAGAACCCTGCAAACATTTTCTATTTCATGAGACAGGAATGAAAGGGAAAGGAGAATGGAAGAAGGTTATAAATGGGGAGACACAAACATTTCTAGAATAGCTTATTCAAGAGCATTCTGTATTCCTAGAAGTGATCAGCTTCAGAACTCTGAACAACTACACAAACTGGTGGTGCACCAGTGACATAACTTGCAAGCTTTGCAGTTGACTTCAGTGGACAGGATGACATCTTGGATTGAGTGCTCTAGATATAACAGAAAGGCAACCAACCATACTCCAGTCAACTGTATGGTCAATCAACTCAATGTTACCACATTTTGGTTGTTCAGTTGGCCGATATGGGCAAAAATGTGTAGCTGACCTACACCTGAGAGATTTAATGGTAACCTCTTCATGCTCTTGTAATAGTACAAATGTAGCAAAGCCATTTTACTACCATATCACCCCTCCCTTTGCATCTTTCTGTTGGCTCCCCTTTTCTCTACCACATTAAATATATATGCTACTCATATTCTTTTTCAAAGCCTCTTGGCTTATCCACTCTGTATTAGCTTTACTTATTCAGGAACTGGACACTGACTTCTGCACCAGACAACCCATGAAGTATATTCATCAGCCACTTATTACATTTTTTAAAAAACAGCTTTGTGCTTTCTCCAGGGTTACCTTCATCCTTGGGGGCAGCTCTCTGTAAACATCCACAAAGTGACTTAATTGCCCTCCTTCAACATATAATTCTGTTTAATTCAGCCTTAAATTTACAGGGATCTTTAGCTCATTTGTATGACTAACAGTTATAGTGTAACTGCTAGGGCTGTGCAAAGCTTCGACTTAATATTCATTCCGACAAATATTCGACTTATTTGACCTTGAAAAGTGAAAGTCGAGTCGAATAGCAGCTG